CCTGCCTCCCCGCGGCCCCGCCCGGCTGCAGGATGCCCGCGCTGGCGCTCAGGTAAGGGCCGCTCGGGCTCCGCGCAGCCCTCTCCCTCCCCCGCTGCCGGAGCCTCCCCGGGCTCCTTATGCAACGGCTGCTCGCAGCCCAGCTATGGCTGGAGGGTCCCTGGTCTCTTCTCCTCAAGCTGAGAGAAGTGTGAGAAGCCAGCCAGGTCCCCCTGGGGGACAGCCACAGCTGTCCTGGCTTTTGCCCTCCTAGTCTTGCTGGGTCGCGAGGCAGCAGCAGCAGTGGGATGCTGCTTTCCAGTGTCTCTTTGGTTTGGAGACAGCTGAGGGCTGAATAGAGGCTTGGGCAGTCACTGTGGCGTGCTCTATTTTTTGCTGACGGATGTTTTGAGGAGGGACACTTTGCAATACCACCTTGGTTTAAACAGGTTTGTGTGTGTGTGTGTGTGTGTTTTCCCCCCCCCTCTCCCTTCTCCCTTCCCCCACCAACCTCAGCATACCTGAAATGTTCTGAGAATTGCCGGCTCCTTGGAAAGCTGGAACTAAAACAGGCTTTTTTTTTTCTCTTGAGCACATCTTCCCTGGGGATTATGCCAGTATGTCAGTCTAAGACTCATGGAGTGACCGTGTCCTTAATGTCATGTTCGCCCGTGTTTTGATATTCCTCGTTTTTTCGTTATGGCACAAGTCATGCACCCATCCTGAATGTCACCTGCCGTTTCCTACAGATGTCTTCTTGGTCATAAAGCTTGAAGGGACTCGTTTGGCAGAAGGACCACTAATAGTCGTGGATGTCATTTAAAGCTGATCAAGAGAAGAAAAGCTTCTGGGGTTAGGAAATTGGATGGCAACTTTGGTATTACCAGCATGCAGAGCAATTTCAGATGATCCGGTGTTGAGCTGCACCCTTCCCCCCCCATGAAAATTGCACGAGTGTGAATTTTTAGTACTTTTGTATATTTTATTTGCGTAGGGTTAGGGTCAATTAAAAGGGAGGCCTAGTGGATATGCCTAATGTTAATGTGGGCACTTTCCAGAGATGAGTTGTGCAAAGGGGATCGTTGCAAATGTTGTGACGTTTTTAAAATGATTCTCACTTTGTGTGAATACTAAGGAAAAGGGGCCAGAGTTAAGTGCTAATTATCTACAAAACTTCAAAATAAATATTTTGGCATTTTTGAATTGTGTATGTAGTAGACAAAGTTCTTTGTGATGTAAATAGGTTAAAATTGTCAGAAATTGTTAAAATTGTGCCAGAGGAATAGAGTGGGCAGTTAGATATCCTAACCTGTGACATTGTCGTTGCTGCTAACTAGTCAGGATTGTATAGCCAGGTTCTTCTGTAAGGATCAGGAAGATGTCATGTCATTCCCCTTAAAGAACATTTTAATAAATAAATAGCTTAATTATTTGCATCATCAGTATTCTTGTCACTTGAATAATACCCTGGAGTTACCTGTTAGGGACCATAGATGGAGCTTCTTGTTTTGTTAATACCTCAAGTCTGTGAAGCTTTTCCGTCTTGGAGAAGCCTGTGAAAGGGCAGTGTAAATCTGCTCTGAATTGCTACATATGCATCTTGCTAAACACCTTTCAATAAAACATCAACTAAATGTCTGCCCGTTCCTGTGACTTATTACTGATTGATACAGTAATTTAGCTCTTGGAAACAGCACACCTGGCCTTGATTTGCATTTCAGAGGCATGAAATATTTAAAATGTGTAATTTATCTTTCCTGAGTAAGTGGCTACCACTGCCATCTTACGTAGAAAAGCAGGTGGTTTCAGGAAAGCTATGGAAGGGAGAACTGTAACAAAATGTTTTTTGCATGTCCTTTGTAGATGTTGAATAGGTTTTGAAAAGGTAAATTCCTAAATTTCTTTTCTGTTGGCTTGGAAACGCAGACCTCCTTAGGAGTCAGTCTTCTAGCTGACACTTGACTGTACAGCTTGCTGTGTTAGTCTCTTTCTAAATCTTTTAAAAAAAATTTAATGAGCTGCTAAGACTGGCAGGGTTATTTTATCTGAACAAAATGTTAATTGCTTTTTAGCTTGTTGCATTATAATTTGGTAAGAATGAACTGGTTGAAATGGTGGCTGTGATGGTAAAAAGTCAGGCAGTTAAGGAGCATTGCACAAGTTGAAGTTCTGTTAGCAGGGTTTCTTTTTCTTTTTTTGGGCATGGGAGGAAAGGAGTGTCAAAATTGGGGAATAGATGTACTATAATGAATATATCATCAGGAAAGTGGTGGTGAGTGACTTTTATTTGCATACACTAATACACACCTTTTTTCCTTAATAATAAAACAAGCCTCACACAGACAAGTAATCAGGACAATATAATTTCCTTCTTAAGTTAAAGGCAGCAAAGCTTAAAAAACAATCAGTGGTGTCCTTTAGGATGCAAGCATCGCTCGAGTAAATTTACTTTGCAAGTTCTGGGTAAAATTTTGGATTCTTGACATAACTTGTTCACATCCACATCCCTTCTCGCATGTGCTTGCCCAAGAGTAAATAATTGGGGTGGGGGCATGCTAGCCCTCACAAACATTAAATCTTAAGGGAATTGGCCATGAGGTAAAGAATAAATAACTCCTTTGATTCAGACTTCAGAGGTTTACCTAAAAGCAACTCACTTGGGATGTTAGAAGGCAGATTACTACAAAAACATTTAAATGCTTTTATTTTCGGTAAGGCAAAGTACTGGATTCAGAATTAATAGATAATTACATCTGGTGCATTTTGTGTTTAAAACATTAATTCTGGCCACTTGCCAGTTGCAAAAAAGTTGAAGGAAGTGAAGAGTTTTACCATTCTAAGTGTCACTGAAAGGTATTCAAAGCTTATTGTCTGCAGTCTGTTTATGTTGAGACATAGTATATTTTAAGCTTAAAGTAATTCTCATGCCCTTCTAATACTGAATAGACACTTCCAGTACTCGCCCAGAAGACCAAATCATGGTTTCTGTGTTCAGTATAATTTTCTTCC